GTTATACAGTAATGTTTACTGATGACGTTTCAAGCACAAATCATTACTGCCGCTAATAATCATATCAAGGAACTACTCACACGACTTCCTAACTTCATTGATATAGTTCCACTATTTTTCACTTGATTTGATTGGCAGTAGTATTTTCCGTATTTCAGGTATGAGTAATGAATCATTCCTATTGCATGTGTTTGGTGTAGATTCAATCGATGAACAAGGATTCAGTAATCAACCTCTCTTTCCACCTACTGAGATTACTTTTTTTAGAAGTTTAACCCTCTCCCATCCTATTGTGTGGTTGTGTGTAAATGCGTGCATTGCAACTGCTGAGCTTTTTTCTAAATTACTTATCTTTTCAGGGTCAACCATTCTTACCTTAGCTAAATTCTTATGTTCTGACCTCTGTAGTTGACCTCACAGTCATTACGGGGTATTTAGCAAATTATATTATTTTGTTTAATTGAGTCAACCTACAGGATCCTTTGGCTTACAGGGCTTGTCCTGTCTGAGTGAGTTTGTAGGTTTAAATGCCACTCTAATTCTTGCTGTATTTAAAATCCTACGTAGGTTCTCAGATGTCCCTTCTTTATATGGTATCTTCATTCAGCTCGATTTTAAGGCTGATAATATTGCAGGAATAGTTTAATGAAGACTTAATATAAATCACTAGACAGAACCTGTCTTAGAGCTAAGCTGGTTCCTGTTTATCGGACAACATGCTGTTCGGTGCTGTCAAAGGTCGGCAGACAGCCTTCCTATGTTAACTGTAGCTGTGCGTGGAAATCTATATAATTATCTTCGGTAGAAGATACACTAGGAGAGCAATAAAGAGGGACAGCTTCAATTTCTGTCTCTCTCTCTCTTTCATTTGGTTTTAACATTCCCCCCCCCCGCTTTGATACAGAGTAATTTTGATTGTCTCTTGTTTCTATGATTTGAGTTGAACTCACCACACTGTTGCTCAATTTATTAATTACTCGTCACCTTATTCATCACTTCTTTTTATTGCTTAGCCCATTTTTCATCATACACAAGCATCTATTATCTTCTTTTGTTTAGAACTTGGACTTTTTGATGTGGTTGTGTTCTCTGAGCTAGCTGGGTAGTTAATTTGCGAAGCTTTCATCACCCTACTAGGCGACATCTTCAGCACATACTTCAATTCGTTGAAGTGAGCTTTTAGATTTCTTCACGAGTTTATTAATCATCTCTCCTGGTGTGTGACCTTGGACGTGATTGGTTGTTTTTGTGTGTTTTCACACCTTCTAGGCAGCTACTTGTATTGGAACTGATTGTTTCTTTGGCTTGAACTATGACCCGTTGTGTGTGAGGTTTCCTTTTTATCGGTTGATAAATTTTGTCTATGTCAATGTGTCTATTGATTGACGATTCACTGGAATGCCAAGATTCTAAAAATTCTCTAGTAGTTTTAGTGTTTCCTCTGTCTAATAGGCTGTAGGCAGCTGATGAGAAGCCAACGAAATAAATGATGACGGCACGATCTTCTTCTGTGGCAAATTGTTGTTCTTTCTTTATGCGAAAATTTAAAATATAATTTAACTTATTTTTATGTAACATTATTCTAGAAATAATTTTTCGAATAAAGCAAGAACAACAGTGGTTTGTGGAGAATAATATGGTAACATCCTGTATTTATTTCGTTGGCTTCTCCTCATCAGCTGTGCTGCTTACAGCCTAAATAAATTATGAATTTTACGTACAGAAACGTTTTAACATACTTGCAAATTTCTTTCCTTCTGTCAATTGACAGAAAGTTTCACAATTAGTGAACAGTGCTCAGAAAACTGCGCTATTATAGTTTTTACCCAGGCAGTTCAAGTTTAAACAAAATAAATGTATGCTTCACACTTACTCAGCTTATTCAATGATGCACACACCAATATTGAGTTTTTTATGGAATATGAAAGTGACGGAAAGTTTCACTTCCTCGTCACTGCCATAGAACGCCTAGAAGACGGTAGTCTTCAGAAGTCAATTTATCGAGAGCCAAATAGCTTTAAATGCAGTCTAGTCAAGACTGTGTATTATAGAGCGAGGACAATATGTTCTATAGAGAAATTAGAGGAAGAATTTGAGTTTCTTGAAAAGAGCAGTGGGTACCCTCAAAGGTTGATCATTAAGTATGGATGATCTGAACTCACAAATGTAAAACAAATCACAGTGGGAAAAAAGCCAGTCTACGTTTAGTTTGATTATAAAGGTGAAAACATTGCAGCGATGATCAACAGAAGACTGAGTACATCACTAGCCATAGCCTATCCTGCAGCTAAGCTGGTGTCCGTCTATCGAACAACTTGTTTTTTGGTGCAATCAAAAATCGATAGATAACCTTTTCATGTTAACTCCAGCTGTGTATACAAATTTATATGTGTCTGCGGGAGCAGTCACATTGGAAGGACAGAAAGAAGGGAATATCTACAATTTTCTGAACGTGTACCAAAAAGCTTATGTCTAAAGGGAACAAATGCTTTAAACAGTGCTATCGCCAGGCATCTCTTTGACACGGGTCATGAGGTAGAAACTGAGAAATCCTTTGATATGATCAAAAGAAAAATGAGCTTCATTCTCCTCAAGTTTGTCGAAGCATTTCTATCAAACACTTCAAACCAGATTTATGTATTCAGAGAGAAGCAGTTATTAATCTTTCCTTAGCCTGGTAACTGGATGTCTTTATTCTCTCATCTGATTACGTATTCGTTGTCTTTAACTTCAACCCCCCCTTTATAATCTGTAATTTTGCCTATCTCCTGTTTCTGTGACTTGAGTTGAACTCACTACATCGTTACCTAATTGATCAGTTACTCATCATCGCACTCACCTCTCGTCTTTATTACGTAATCTTTTGCTGTTGTATGCCTCCAAAGCCTCAGGATGGTCGGGGGTGGGTGCCTTGCGCTACGGGTTGGCCACCCCTCCGCACACCTCTTGAAATGCTCCCATTGACCGTGCATCTTACATAGCCTCTCCTGAGGAAGTCCTACTCACTGACTTCACGTAGCGGAGGTGTTTGTCACCGAAGTGAGAGGGCGAAAGCGGATGTCCGGCGCTCTCCACCGGGTTGACTGTCCATTGGATAACGGTCTAGGGGAGATGGCTAAACCCTGATTCCAAACCTCCAACGACTGGCGTATGAAGCTCACTGGAGCTCACCGGCAGACGTATGGAGAAAGGGCTTGTTGGATGTCCTGGATGTCTGGCCCCATTCAAAAAGGCGTATGAACCGAACTCCGGTCACCGGCTGCCAATGGACTCCTTACTCCACTCCTACTGCCTTGTAGGTCACACTTGGCTGTGTAAAGGCTAGAGCTGCACTCTCAAACAAAAGGCCGAGCGATGCTGGGGACATCACTCGTACCAAATTCCCATGAAACTTCATGAACTCTCTTACAAATTGCCGCATCTGGGCAGCGATGATTCGAGACGTTCATGAAGCCGGCTCATCCTCCCGTAGGAGATAGCCGAAGTTAAGTAAAGTAAGTAAGTTGTATGCATACATTTATTTTGACTTGAACTGCCTGTGTAAAAACCATATAAGCACAGTTTTCTGAGCACTGTTCACTAATTGTGGAACATCCTGTCAACTGACATCGTGAAGAAAAAAATTTGCAAATATGTTAAAACGTTTCTGTACGTAAACCTCATAATTTATTTAGGCTGTAAGCAGCACAGCTGATGAGGAGAAGCCAACGAAATAAATACAGGATGTTACCATATTATTCTGCGCAAACCAAAATCATCAACGGAAATAAATGCATGAAATAATTGTTCCAAGAAACTGATGCTTAGAAGTAAGCAGATATTTACAAAATTCAATTACCAGACACCCACCCTGTGGATAGGGATCATTCTGTCTAGATTTCAAAATCCTTAAAAATATTAAGCATACGATTTTCTCAAGCAACTACAGCAATCAAGCGTTTCAAACCAAACTTATGAACACAGAAAGAGAGAGAGACAGAGTGTGTAGTCAATCTCTCACTACCTTGGTAACCGTATTATTTTCATTACACTGAATAGTCATACACAGCTCAGTGAGCAATTTTTCAGTTGGATGAACTTTAATCTTCATGAGTTGCTATTGTACACGTACAAGCTAAACAGCGTTTTGTTAGATTTTTCTGTTTTCTGTCTTCTCTCAGCCCCCCCCCCCACCTTCATAGTCTGAAAGCATATAAACTGATGGTGACTTAAACTAAAGATTTCAATGCTTATTTTTCGGATACATTTATCTCATAGTGCTCTCTCTGTTACCTTTCAAACATTGAAGCATGAAATTTTAATAATGTTATTTTTAACCATCGTAATTTCAGATAGTTTGCAGCAGCTGATGAGAAGCTGTGAAGAACGAGAATGATGATAATGATGTTGATATCATTTTATACTGATTTATCAAGGGAACTAAATGTATGAAATAATTGTTCTCTATACTATATATAAACCCTTCAAATTTCAGTGTATTTGAGTATCTTTCAACTTGTCTTTCTACTTACCTTTTGTTTACAGGATTTCATCATGAGCTGACATTAGTTAGAGAACCATTGGAAAACCACCTGGGAGTACTGGACATCTGTTTCGTCCTCGTCCTAGTTTGGGACCGGCTATTCAGCAGTACGCACTCAAAGGGGTTCGAACCCAGGACCCTCTGGTTACAAGGCTACCGAGCTCGTAGACCACTAAGCCACTGGAACCAAATCCAACGGCTAATGAATTCTAACTTCTGCCAATTCACGATATAGCGCCATTGGATTAGGTTCCAGTGGCTTAATGGTATACGGGCTCGGTAGTCTTGTAACCAGAAGATCCTGAGTTCAAACCCTGGTGGGTGCGTACTCCTGAAACAGCTGTCCAGGTGGTTTTCCAATGGTTCTCTAACTAATGTCAGCTCACAATGAAATGCTGTAACCAATCAATCAAATCCCTACAAACCAACATTTGATTATCTTTTCTTGTTGTTTGTTGTTTTTTTTCATTTTCTAAAGAGAGATGCAGTACTCGGTGAGCATTTATGGAATGATACAACATCAACTGACACTTGTTATGTCGATGAATCAGAGTGTTGCGTAAGTCTACAATTTCTAATAATAGTAATAGTAATGATGATAATAATAATGATAGTAGTATACACTTTTGTTTGATATCCATTTGTATTTATCTTTCTTATTCATCATACTAAATGTAAGGTGTGGGTTCGTGTGTGTATTTTGCTAATTGTACCAACTAGGACCCTACAGGAATAGAAATTATCTTCAAAATCAAATAAATTGTTACATCCCCTATATGTGTACTTGTAATATTCAAATCGTATGAGGAGAAATAACATCTTTCAATGGATGACATAAAATCTATTCACCAGCAGACTAGAATAGTCAACAGTATACAGATAAAGGAATCAAACAAGCCCTGGATGAAAATCTTCGACCAAAACAGGTTGGATTCAGGAGAAACAAGTCGTGTATTGATCAAATCGCCACACTACGGCTTAGAATGTCAGTCACCACTTCGTCGACTTTGAAAAGGCCTTTGATAGCTAAGCGTCGATGGAGAGGTGATTTGGCAACTACTTTGCTACTACCAAAGCATGCCGCCAACAATTATACATCTCATCTAACAGTTGTACGACAATGCTGCATGCCAAGTAATCCACAACGGGAAATTCATGGAATCCTTGGAAGAAGAAGAGAAGACGGGAGTAATAATAACTCGAATAATAATAACCTCGAGTATAAAGAACAAGATTCGGATTTTTAACACAAATATGAAGTCAGTCAGTCAGTCAGTTCTTCTAAATGGCTCAGAGAGAGAGAGAGAGATATGGCTTTCATGTCAAGATAAGCACTTGCTATAGGCTACTGTAAATGTTTATCCACTTCTGTCTTTGCTGACACCCTACTGAAGATCAAATGTCCAGCCAGCCAGAAAGAATTAGCAACAAGAAACTCTGGCTGGGAAGAAACCAACCAAGAACCGATTGCTCAACAAAAATGTAGAAAAAAAATGGAGATAGGTGTATCAGGCATACGTTGAACAGACTGTTGAATCACATAGCGCTCAATTCAGGCCATCGCTCGAGTAGAATCCCAATGTAAAGCGACAAGTGGGTAGTCAGTGCGCAAATGACACAAAGGAGATTGTGTACGTTGGAGAAGGAGATGAGAGATTATGGGCAAGCTTAAGGTCAGCCAGTTGAACGGGACAGCAGAAAATAGGAATGTAATGAACATGTGTTGCTGAATCCCTATGTTCCATTTGGAGCCCAAGGCGATAATAATAATAGTTCTGCTAAAATAGTTTCATGTTAAAATTTGGGGTGAATAATAATAAAAGAAATAAGCTTAGTAAAGTTGATGCTTCGCTATACGAAAGAATTAAGTAAACATTTTCGGTGAACAATTAAAATTTAATTGCCCATTTTTATTCATATATGATATATATACATGTATGTGTATAAATATGTACATGAACTGAATAAATCATAGCATTCTTTCCTTTCAAACTCATCAATTATTTGTTCTATTTAGGAAATTATTTCTGACATATATATATATATATATATATATATATATATGCCTATGTATAGAGCAAAAACTGTACATTTCATTTAGTCTTCCAGTTGTAACAGGCAACGTTTTTCAATGAGAGAACACCAAAACAAAATCTTATGTTTTGACTGTCGGTCCTCTGCCAACGTTTTCACCTTGACCCACGTCTGCCCATATGCTTTCATCTCCGCTTCGCATGATCTCCTCCATGTCACCCTTGGATGACCTATATATATATCTTCATCAGGAGACAAATGATCAGGAAAGTTGGAAAGGAAAATTCACTATCCGTAAACAAGGACATATATATATATATCATCATAGTGAAGTGATTAATAACAGACTACATTTGAAATCTCTAAAGAACTCTGAAGCAGTCAATTATAAATACTTGTACAGACGTTAGTTACCTTATGTGTGGCAATATTACTGTATTTAGACATTTCACATGATTCTTAAACAAAAGCAATAAGGTAACCTCAAATTTACTGATAAAATACGTGCAGCCATGTGCTATATACAAATGAGATATTCTTGAACCATAATTAACTATTATTCCCTTGTGGCTTCAACAAAACATCTGTATTTTGTCCTGTCCCATGTAGTCGTCTGCACTTGGCACCACTGTCTCACCACCTTGACATACGATCTACCCCACACTACCCTTGAGAATATGCCGAATCCATCGTCTCCTGTTTGGGTTGCAGACGAGCAATAAACTGGCACACAATGTCACCTGACGATCTTTCTAGCATGTGTCCAATCTACCTCCATTTTCCTTTTTACATATTTTTTCACACACACACACACACTAGGCTCTTGATTGGTTCATTTCCAGGATTTATTCTTGCTGATATTTTCTGGCTGACTATCTGCTCTTCAATATTGAGCCAGGGAAGGCAGGTGTTGATAAATGTTTGCATTAGCAGACTGCTGCATGTGCCTTTGATGATGCATACTCCATGTTTCTAACCATGCCAAAGAAGCGACTGACTCAACATGGATGTAGAGAATTTGAATTTCATTTTTTTGATGCTAAGTGTAGCAGATTTCTATCCTGATTTCAGAGTGGTAAAAGTCGGCCTTGTCTGTTCAATATAATCCTGGGTGATATTCATCTGTTGGTGTTATTTGAAATATATAACACAAGGCCCTGTAACTGTGAAGTATCATTGAGGTTCTTTGGGAAAATGTATTTGTATTCGTTCACGTACAAGTGTAGTGTGATGCAGATTGATAAGAAGCGAACGAAACCGAAGCCATCACTTTGCGTCAACTGCTTCAGAGACAGAAATATTTGTCACTCAAATCTGGATTTAATTTACACTGTGGACAAGAAATAGCCTCATTGGACGAATCGCCTAGCCTTGAGCCAAGCAGCAACCAATCAAGAGGGTATATTCTTCTCTGACCCAGACGACCTTTAATGTGGCTAAAAATTTATACATACGATGCTTTGTTGTTTTCTTAATAGAAAAGTCTGTTACCAAGTATCTGATCTTCTCTCGTTAAACAAGTATGCTTTATAAAATTACATAAATATAAGTGAAAGCCTTTAACCTTCAGATATTTCCTTGTCATCTTCTATACTAAACACAGAGCCTAGCCGACTATTTCAGGTGACAGTTTAAGTAGGCCGAAGAAAGGAATGATGAAAAGCCAACTTTAAATAAAATCGATAAATGGTATCTAATATACTAACTACTATTCGAATTATAAGTTCAAACATACATAGTAAAATATAGGTTTAGATATTGGGATCTAAAGTAGAGTAACAATTCGATCCTTAAGTAAAATTAATTGATAACATCGCACAGTGATGAAAAATACTATGTACTGGTCACGATGTTTCGATCACTGTGTATTACTCATAATGACATTAAGGCGGTCAGGTTGTAACAGCAGACGACAAGGGCCAGGTGACAAACAGATCATTTATTGAGAAAATCAACAGATAAATTCATAATTAGTATACAATTGGTGGATGGTAGCTAGCAGTGGAATCCAGGATGAAGCGCATTTCGTCTTATTTGGGACTCGTCATCTGGATGTACCTGCATTCCCCAGTGAGTGATGATGTTCCCACCGAGGCTCGTAACCACTGCCCATAGTTTCAAACCCCAAAGCGTTATCCAGTAGACCAATTGGGCCACGAGAGCCACCTCTTGTGCAACGGGTCATATTAATTATTGAATTGAATTTTTGATTTTCCCGTCGATTGATTGGACCGAAGTGCTCGGTCTCAGGTTGACATGTCGGCTTCTTGTTCAGATGCTTCCACGATGTCCGGGCATTTAGTTAGTGTACACTTGGTTGGGATGGTGGCTAGCAGTGGGATCCAGGATGCACATTTCGTCCTATTTGGGACTCGTCAGCTGGATGTACCTGCATTTCTCAGTGAGTGATGATCTTCCCACCGATGATGTTCCCACTTCGGTCCAATCAATCGACGGGAAAATCAAAAATTCAATTCAATATATTCATAATTGTTTATGTGTATTATTATTAGTGTTATTGTTAGCAGAGAAGTAACCTCCTCTTATTTGTTATAATCTTCTCAAGGTTATTCTGTACTGCTTGTGATCATTTCTTAGAAAAATAAGCCATATATCTGCTAATCATATTTGCACACGTTAAGCTGCTGTGATTGGTTGGTGAATCCTTCAAGGTTAGGCTTTGTTTTTTTTCTCATAACACTGATTTGGGAAGTGAACACGGACGTAAATTGTTGTCAACAATTCTGGATTGCAGACAGCTCTCACCACAAGTTAACTTTCAAAAGTTTTTACCAAGTCTGTTACCGTCTTCTGTTACAACAGGATTAAATTCCTGCTGTAATATCTCAGATGTTATTATCACTGATGAGTTATTTATGGTTTGAAGAAAACTATACGAAAACTTTCTCTAGTTTAACACTTAAACCTTTAAAGGGGACGAAAGCATTGAAATGCAACGTTATATGTGGCGAACAAAAATCACTGACATATGTTCATCAAAGGAAACAAAATATATGTGAGATAAGATTGAAATTTACGAGAACCTGGAGCAACATTTAAAAAATCCTACTTTAAACTTTTCAACTACACTTACCTAGTTTCCGTCGATCGTTTTTCTTCCAGTTAATATTTGAACCCTGAAAGACATCGTTGCAGACCTGATAAGGTTAAAAACACTTAGATAGTCACTATTTGTTTTGTTGTTGATTGGCTAGAGGATTTCATCATGAGCTGTCATCAGTAAGGAGCAAGTGGAAACCAACAGGGAGTACTTCACAGCTGTTCTTATCTCCTGAGCTTGGTTTGAACCCATGACTTTCTGGTTCAAGGCCAGCTAGCTGGTAGACCATTAAGCCAGCCACTGGAACCCGATCCAATGGCCAGCCAGTCCATGAATTCTAACATTCTCCTTCACAATTCATGACATAGCGCGACTACTTCGCAATGTCTTCCCCTTCGATGCGTTACTGCCTCACCTTTAATCTACTGGTTACGGAATTTTTTTTTGCTAACCCTTCTTCTAAC